GTTTTATAAAAGTGCTGTACTAAAAACTCCCGCAATTGTGATTTTTTATGTTTTCTATTTAATTTTTAAAAAAATATTGTTTACTGTGCAGGTGGCACGAAATTTTCCCAGTAATATTTTGTGGACAAATTTTTCTTTCAAAAAGTTATAAAAATAGGAAAATGTCCCAGTGATTAATTGTCATAAGTTCATCAAAATGTTAGTATCTCTTTAAATATCCCCCGAGCTTATTAATTGGTTGCGGAAAATAGTTTTAAGTGCAACTTTTTCATTTTGTTAAACGTATATTTCGTTTTAGAAAGGGGTGTTACCTTTACTAAAAACCACAGAAGGAAATAGTTGAAGAGACCCAATTGTTATTACATTTCTTTTTTGTTATTTACATGAATATTTCATGTGAATATTACACTGATATTCACATGAACTTTTTGGCTTTTACTTTATTTTCTTCCATTGTAGATACTCAGATCAATTTTTTCCAATGATAAGGTTTTTGAACTAGTTTTTGAGCCTAAACCACAACTAAAAGGGCCTTCGAAAGATATTTGAACAATGAACGTGACATACTTTTTGTCGGTTAACCAACTTAGCCCAAACATAATATTAAAAATTTTTTAGGGTAATTTTTAGCTACCACAGTCACGGGACAGAGAATCTGCAATTTTTACTTTTTAAGCGATAAATATGGTTATTGCAAAAAACAAAAAACGAATTTTCAGTTTTTTGCTCGAATTGCATATAAAAAAACTTAACTAAAGGTTCCTCGGATCTACCGTGAAGTTCTGTTCTTCGAAGATATTTTACATTGATTTTTTAAATTTCAGATCCAAATCGCAGATTTCAACTTTTTAAACTCTTATTAATGATCTGAAATAACCAATTTGAGATCTGAGAACCAATTTATGTAAGAAATGAAAATTTTAGATCTTGTATAAAATATCTATTAGGTATGGAATATAAATTGTTTTTGAGATTGGAGACTCTAACTTAGACTTTCGAAATTCTGTCCAATGCTTTGTCCCAATGATTAAGTTATTCGGAAACTTCCTAATGATACTTTTGATCCTGTTTCAAAAAACAAAAACCTGGCACATTTTTTGTTTTTCGAATAGATAATTATAACTATTTTTGGCAAAGTACAGATAACTATTTTTGGCAAAGTTAATATCAAAAAAAATTTCACATTTAGCACTTTACAAAAATTGTGTGCCGTAGTAAATCTCAGACAACTAAATTAGCGCCTCTGCAACTGTTTAATGGTAAGATGATTCATTTTGTGACATACAAGCAAAACTTCAGGAGTTGCAGAGGCGCACAAATAATTGTCTGAGATTTACTACGGTACACAATCTTTGTACAGTGCTAAATATGAAATTTTTTTTGATATTAACTTTGCCAAAATTATCAAAACTTTAGGTCAATACAATCCGTCCTATTGCTTTCTGTTGTACATGTTCCGTTTTTTTCGACTACAGCAATGTTGTACATTTTCAGGTTAACATGAGCTTGTTTTTTTCTTAGAAGTTGTAAGACAAGTGCTAAATTGCATACATTACATAAGTCGTAAATATTCGTCACTGTGTCTGTACACTTCGATTATTGTTTTGCATAAATTTTGAAAAAACAAGAGAAAAACTGTTGCTGACAAGTGTTGATTTACAGATTTGTAAAAGTTATTAGTCAAACAATAGACAAAAGCATTTTTTTTTGAATTTTTGTTAGGCTTACAAAAACTAAAAATTAAAATTAAATTTGCAATAAAACTATTTTTTTTTGCTTTTTAGATCTGTATTAAAATAAATGCAAACTGCATAATAGTTGATGAGATTTTGTTCGTCAATAATTTGAAAAATATTAATGGCACGAGTTCAAAATAAAGATAATATTTTGCCTGCTTTCGGTTTTTGCATATTCGTAAGGCTTTCAAAATTGATGAACTGGCCAAATTAGAACATCATTTTTAAAAAGGAACCACAATCACATGTATCCCTTGTTCCAATTATGGATTTATAATGCAGGATTGGGATAAATAAAAAGGATGATAAATCAATTATTTTCAAGTATCTCACAATAATTTTTGGTAATATGGCCAAACTAGCATTTTTGAAAGCTCTATGACGCTGCAAAAAGAGTTTGATAAAGAAAAAAATCCACAAAAATTAGAAAAAATTATCTAAAACAACACACCCAGTAAAAATATGCAATCACTTTCTTTGAATGCTCGCACATAAATCAGTTCAAATATTCTTTATACTCTATATCATACACTAACAAGGCTTCTTATACCAACTAGTAATCGGAATGATCTGTGCTATCTATGCTCAGAGTTTTCAAGCTATTCTGTTTAGAATCAACAGAAAGAGATTTTTTATAGGTTGACAGTTCGACCATTTCATGAATCGCTACATGCTTGAAAAGATAATACGCAGGTGTGATTTTTTTTTTTGCTTTTTCACGGTTAAATGAATAAAAAAAAACAGTTGAATAACTTAACCTTGAGTTAACTTGTATGTTAAGCTAACATAAAATGTGTTACTTAACAAAAAATTTAGCTCTCTTTCATAATTGAAACAAGGCTGCTCGTATCAGGGCGAAGCCCTGAATGTTCCGACTGCCTTTTAAGGTTTATGGAGCAATAATAACATTTAAAAATTCAATGTAATAAAACAAAATGAAAAAAAAATTTTTTCTAAATTTTCAAATTTTTTATGAAAATCATCCCCCCACACGCCATATAAAATACGAAAGGATACATTTCGCTCCTTGTAACAAATCAATTATGGCAAATAAGCTTCTTTCGACCAATTTGGAACGATTTCTAAGACGGATTAACTCTCCGCTTACGCGTTAATAGCGCGAAATATAATCGCGCGTTAATTGTCCCAAATTGGCCAAAATGGCAATCTTTAAACCCTCGTAACTTTACGAAAAATGATCACAGGTGAAATATCTTTTCAAATTTGAGCTCAGGACAACAATACCTTTCGAATGATATAAAAAAATTCCGTCAAAAATGGCTAGTTAAAAAGTCGACATTTGTCTGAAGAAAAAAAAAAACCACCCCGAGCACAAATATTCCGTTACTTTCGTATCGAAAGTCGGAACAATGACTTAAAGCGGCATTGCCATGAAACTACGTTGCTTTCAATCAGCTATTCTTTAAAGATAACTCAAAAATTTAGGAGGAATTGAAAGGAAGCTTTGAATCTCAACTTTTATCATCAGTTTTATTAATTTACAATTTCAGATAAAAATGGTTGGGAACGTTTATCGTTTGGTATTAGTAAAGCTCTACGCCTCTTTTGAAAAATAGGAACAACTTAACATCAAAGTAAGTCCCTGAGATAAAAAGGAAACTCAACCAGAATAAATCATCTAAAACTCAACTACTGATGCATTATGAAAAAAGAAATGACACATGAAAAGAGCGCTTTTGTTTTTAAAGTTGGCAAAAGAGGCGTGGAAAATAAAGGATTTCTTAATATTCTCCCGATTTCAAAGAAACACTGGGAGGCGGGCTGCGCTGATGTTCTAAGAGAGGAGGGGGGGGGGGTTGTATTTAGTATTCTGGTATAAAGAGTAGCACTAAATAGATTCTTATTTCAATATTCACTCAAGCTACAGATGAGCGATGGTGCAATTTAATAATTGATGCGGAAAACAAATTTGGAGCAGCATATTTAAAAAACTGCTCTTGTACCAACACCACCAAGTCTAATGCAGTTACATTTTCAACTACAATCTACAACACAATGGAAGATAAACATGATATTAAAATGAAAAATCATTCGATTTTTAGACCGAAAGGTTTTAAGGCCGAATTGGGTGGATTTTTTTCAGATGTTAAAGCAAAACAATGGATAAAAAATTGGCTTTCTGGTTCCGACCACTGAAAGTGGAGAAAGTCTTTGTCTTTGGGTGTTTTGAATCTTTTTTTTTCTTACGTGAAAATATAATTTTTGAAGCTTCATTTCGCGATTCGAGTAAAATTAGATGCGAAAAAAAGTGAAAATCTTTTTGTTTTTATATTGAAAATCTTTTTGTGGTTAATTTCCTAAGATTTTGTTTTGTTTCTCTCATCACATCATGCACGAGAAAGAACACAAATTTGAAAAAAAAATCTGGATTTTTTTTTTGTTTTTCTAAATCAAGTGTGAACTTTCTAAGATATTTACACAGCAACCATCTAAACTTGTTCTTTTTTTGTAACTCGTGTTTTCTCAATAATTGAAATATTGCTGTCTATGCAAAAACAATTTTAAAAACATCTTTGCGATTCTATTGAGATATAGACCAGGACCAGCTCATGTTGTTGCTATTCATTCAGTAACTACAGAGGAAATATTTCAAATTGCAATTTTTTTGGGATTAGAATTCTAGTATAATTCGGCTTCTTGACCTGTGCACTTTATAAGATTTTAAAAGTCACTCAATAAATCATAGTTTTGTGTTTAGCGATTACATAATTGAAACTGAAATGTCAATCATTGCAGCAGAAAAAATTCAACCGACAAGAATGTGGATTTTCACCTGGTTTTTGTGGCTCGGCGCATTCCAAATGTTCTGTCAGAACCTTTTCTCATTTTTTTTGTTTTTCAACTCAAAATTTTGTACCACTGCTTTTAAATTGCAAATTGTTAGAAAAGAAATTGAGCATTGAAAAATAACTATAGTGACATAACCTTCGCAAACCAATCAAATACAAAAATTTAAAAATATGGTTAAGGCACAAGAAAGTCAATTAAAATCTGAAAAACTTGTTTAAAAATTTTGGGTTTCTCTGCGAGATTCGAACACTAATTCATATAAAGAAATTCGATGAGCACATACGAGTACACCCCCTTATAGTCCACGCCTTAAACTGATTTTAAAAAGTCTCGCTAGCAATATTTCCGCTGTGCAAAAAGGTGGAAAATTGTGAATAGGTTCCGCAATGCTCGTAAACCAGTTCCATGTGTGTGTGTGTGGGGGGGGGTTTGGGGTTGGGGGGGGGGTGTGACCTTGAGAATTTTGGTGGCGGCCGAGATGGCCTGGACGTCGTGTTTGGAGTGGCTCTCATCCTCTAGACACTGCACACAGATCAGTCTGGTACAATCCAGACAGTAGTAGGTCACACACTGTGTAGAATGCATCACACATTTGGACCCTAGCACAAAACACACACTAAGTAACACATCACATAATTAATGCTACAGAAGCAACAGAACTTGATTGAATACACGTGTAATCATCATCATCAATCACCATCATCACCACCACAATCACTACCACCCTTATCAGCATCATCATCACATCATAGTAGCTGGCCCTATAGATGGATGAAGGGGGTGATTGTTCACAATAAGTTATTAGCCTTGGCGTCGACGTCGACCAATATTGCTCACAGATTCATGCTAAAATGCTGAAAACAATTTTTTTTGCCTTAAGCTATTCTTAACATTGGCAGATTGTTGAGAAAATAAGCCAAGTATAAAAGTTGACCAAAAATTTATTCGCCATCAAAAATTTTTGGAGACATATAGCTCAGAAGATGGTATAACGCCAAACAGCCCGGACGATTTATATGCGGCAATAAACAAAATATTTTTTATATTCTTTTAGTTTGTTTTATGCTTCATTTCTAGTTTCATCTGAGTGTGAACAAGCATATTAAATAAAAATGGGAGGTTGTACGAGGAAAAGGATGGGGAGGGGTGTGGGAATGGTTTGAGAATTATATCTACCTGGTACATTTTTGAGAGTAGCCAGAAACCACTGATGGGCGGAGACTACATTGTGTGTGAGGAAGGGACCCCTGCTGGGGTGGGAGGTGTCCTTGCACTTGGAACAGTAGTAGACCTTGCACTGCTCACAGAAGATGGTAGCCTCCAGTGCTATCTCTTTATCTGTACACGCAACACAACAAATCTCTTTAATTATCCCACCCCCAATGGTACCTAGTAAAACAAACACTATGGTACCCTTTTAAAAAAAGTCAAATAGGTTACCGTCAAATAGGTTAGCGTGCGAAACCTATTTGACGGTCGAACGCAAAAAATATAAAAATTTTTCTCAGTCGAATAGTTTTTCCTTGGCCGAACTGAGTCAAAAAGTTTGTTCTCGGTCGAACTTGGTCGAAATGTTTTTCCTCGGTCGAACATAGTCGAAACATAGACAGCTTCGACTATGTTCGACCGAGTCGAGACGGTCGATACATACCAATTTTTGGTTGAGTCGGTCGAAACATAAATCTCAAACCTCGACCCGGGTTGTGGTATCCTTTTTGAATAACCATCACTAAGCTAATCGTTAAGCAGGTTCGGATTTTGCATCTAAAAGCGAAGAAGGGGGTATCTTAAGAGATATCACAAAACACATATACAGAACAATATTGTTGAAGTTTCAACAAGTATAAGACAAACTCAACAGTTGCGCATGAAATTAGTTCAACCAATGAGTCAAATTCAATTTCATCAAAGTTTTATCAAATTATATCTGTTTGTCTTTTTTTGTAAGCAATTAGCAGAGTTCGGTTGATATCTCTACACAGCAGAAACAAAGCTTAAAACTTTTTTTCGAAAAAAGAGTTACAGAAGTCTGAGAAAAATACTGTTCTTTTTTGACGAAATTTGGTCAGGGCTGAGGGTGTTTTAAAACATGTTTTGATACAGAAAAAATAAAACAGTTTTTTTTATTTCAATTTGCTTACCGCTAAAAACTAAAATCACTTGAGTTTAAATTAGCTAAAAACTTAAATGTACAGCTTTAAGTTTTTTTTGCCGCTCGATCTCTACAATGAGACTGGGCTTTAAAATAGCGTTGGCTGATATTGCTGTGGCTCTCATTTCCAGTGTTCCCAACTCAGCTAGAAAGAGGAATCTCGACGACAAAAATGACTTGTTTAAAGTTAAAAACTCAAATGGTGGCTAAAAAATGCGGAAAACTAGCATTTCTGTACCGCGAACTGAACAAACTGGGATAAAAACAATAACATATGGTTTTTAATAGAAAAACGCTGTTTAATTGATTTTTTCATTTAAAAAACGTTTTGTTCCCAGCCCTGAATTTGATTGACTCAGCAGCTCTGCTCAGATAGTCCGGAATGAAGTTTTATACCAATTCAAAAAAAAGTTGTTACAGATTTTTTTAAAAATGTATTGAACAAGCTACTTACTTGTAGAAAACGATTAGTTTTAGTTTAGCAACATTATTTGCAAGCAAGTATTGCCCCCCTCCCTTGCGGGTGTGATAGTTACCTGCGCAGAGTTGGCACTTGGCGAGGGGGATGGAGTTGGTGAGGAATATCTTGACCTTTTCTGCCACTTCGTAGTTGGGGGGCAGATCTCGCAGCACCTGTTCATCGGCCAGCAGCTCATACTGACACAACGGACACCTAAAGCAACCATCACACTCATCGAAACAGAATCCAACAACGCTTTCTAGTCACACAACCTTCACACACGGCCATGAAAAAATGAGGTAACATTTATACATAAATAAAGTTATTAGCAAATTTTGAGCTCAGCTTACGGAAACTTTGATTTTTTTATATATGTTTAGAGAAATTGTCTTGACAGACTGTTTTTGCGGGTCAGATCGGCATTGGCGTCAACAGTTTTCCTACCTTCTAGGAAGCGGATGGTACTGAAGAGTTTTAAACAAATTGCACGGGGAAAGTATTCTTACTAAAACCAAAATGACGCTTAAGTTTCCGTTGAAAAGTGAAGCCGTTTGGTTGAATTTAGGTTTTCAAAAAATCATTACATAAAACAGCTCGAGAAGGGCGTCGACAATTTCAGCAGCAGTTTTTGAGCTTGCTCAATGTTTT